ACCACTATCAAAAACCGTGAGCGAGACAGTCTTCTTAAAAAAAAGAAACTCCGCACGGCGGCATTTTACTGCTGCTCCTTTGTTTTTCTTTTCTTGTTCCAGGCAGTTGCCTCCATAAATCCGTTCTCTGTCCGTTCCAGTTCTCGCCAATCATCTCAGGGAGACTTCATCCGCCGTGTATTATAACTGAAAGTAAATCAAATACGCAGTAAACATAATAAATACAAAGACAATCTATATACGCGTTCATATACAAGATTATACACAGGGCTCCGATTTACTAAATTAATCGCTTTCTAAATCTTTGTTTCCCTCTTTGCCGGGACATTCCGAACGAAAGTGACCCTTCTCGCCACATTCCCAACACTCTTTCTCTTTATTCTTATTTCCAATAAATTTTCCAAATTTATTTTTATTAAATTTTCCATCTTTCAATTGATTATTTTTCTCAAAATTTTGATTCTTTCCTTTCTCTTTAAAATTATAAAAACTTTTCTCTCTATTCTTTTCAAACGCTATAGAATTATTTTCTCTTTTCTGTTCGAATGAATTTTCTTGTATTAAATTGATTGCCTTAGCTCTTTCAATAGCTACCCTTAAGGATGTTACTCCCTCCAGTTGTAAAGCTCTCTTTACGAAACCGTCAGAAAGAGCGGAGACAAACTGCGCGCATGCTATTTTATCACGCGTTACATCAGGACATTCAGGGTATGCTAATTGTGCGAGCCTTTCTACATCGGAGCCAAAAGACGCAATGTTTTCCCCGAACTTCTGTTTTCTATTAGTAAACTGCGAATAATAATTTTGCAACGATTGTGACTCACCGAATCGTAACTCTAACTTTGATTTTAACTCCGAATAATTTAAATTTTCTAAATTTTGCACATTTTCCAATATCGCACGTGCCTTCCCTCTCAAACACGACACAAGCACGGCAGTCTTTGTCTCATCTCCCCAACGATTCGCACGAGAAATCAAATCGAATTGCGCGAAAAACTCGCGCAAGGGAGCACTCCCGTCAAACGTGTCCGGCTTTATTTTCACACCCGTCACTCCGCGGAGAGAATACGCATTCGAATCGGCTCGATCGCCCGAGCCCGCGGCAACTTCAACGTTGATTAAGCGATTGCCGATATTCGCGACATTTTCGTTACGATCTCGCGCATTATTTTCGGTATTATTGAGAGGA